TGGGACTGGGATTTGAACTCAGGGCTTTGGTCTTGCAAAGCAGGCACTCTACTGCTCGAGCCACACCTCCAGTTCATTTTGCTCTGATTATTTTGAAAATGAGTCTCTCAAACTATTTGTCCAGGCTGGCCTCGAGCCTCAATCTTCCTGATCTCAGCCTCCCAAGTAGCTAGGATTACAGGTGTGAGCCTCCAGCGCCTGGCCTCTCACCCTCTTTCAGGTTGAGTCATGGCCACATGACTTGCTTCAACCAATGAACTGTAAGCATAGGCAACATGCCAGTTTTGGAACAAAGTTTAGAACCCAGTGGGGATTTTTTTTTTCAGTACTGGAGTTTGAACTCAGGACCTTCACCTTGACCTACTCCACCAGCCCTTTTTATGTGATGGGTTTTTCAAGGTAGGGTCTTGTGAACTATTTCCCCAGGCTGGCTTCAAACCACGATCTTCCTGATGGCTGCCTCCTGAGTAGCTAGGATTACAGGCATGAGCCACCGGTGCCTGGCCTAGGGGGAACTTGATGTGCCCCGGCCCCTTTCGCTTGCCTCAATGACAGTGTCACAAGACAGCTTCCATCATCTTGGGTCCTCACATAACCACTATAGACAGAGCCTAACCAACCACAGCCAGCCAAAGATGGATACATGCCAGAAGCAAGAATAAATCCAGGCTGCGTTAAACCTGAGAGCTGAGGTTTTTGTTACTCGAGTAGCTGGGATTACAGATGTGACTCACCACGCCTATCTTGAGTTTTGGTCCTTATGGAAAAATACTCAAAGGACCTTTGCTGATCACTGCTCAGATCCTCCCCAAATAAGACACCCCTCCCCCTTCTCCCCTTCCTCCTTCCAGTCTTTAAGTTGGAGGGAACCGACCAGAATGGAACACAGACGATGCCGGTAATCTACTGCATGCCCTGGCACGATGGTGGCCCCCAGTAATAGGGTCCCAGCTTTTAGTCTGGCCCTGGATTTATGATCCTCAGGTGAAGAGCCGCTTCGCCCAAGGCTCCCATCCCTCAGGGACGGTTTATGGCTGAGAATTAGCCAAAGGTAGTGGCAGCAACAGCTTCCTCCCGCCTCCTTCCCAGGGAGGGTCTGAATCACAAGAACGCGAGCTGCTTCTCTGGATGGAGGAGGGTGGCGGAAGCCAGCGCAGACAACGACCCACTACACCACCAAGGCCCCTTATTAAGCCACATACCAGCCACCAACCATCTGTCTGTGGCTTTGGAAATTCACACTGCTGAGGTTTCTAGATCCTTCTGTCTCCCCCACACTGGCGTTCTCCATCTTCCTACTCCTTATCAAATACCTACTAGGTGTTTGGGCGCTTCCACTTGCTCTCCCCAATCCTTAGGAAGTGAAATTGATGTAGACACTTAAGTATTCACTCCAGACCTACTATGAGCTTGGCTATAATGGCAAATAACACATCCCCTCCTTTCTGAATACCTACTGTGTGCCCAGCCTTTATCTCCACTTGAAGGTAGAATCCAAGACTCCTTATGATGGTGGATTGTAGATTCAGTCATTTGTCAAATATTTATGGTGAGCCTACTATGCACCAGGCTATAGCACTCAGTAGTGAGTAACAGATTCCTCATGGATTTCTGTTTGTTCTGGCAGTGCTTCGGATGGAACTCAGGGCCACGCACGCTCGGCAAGTGCAATCCCACCGAGCCACACCTCCAGTCTCTTCACAGATTTTCTACTCTAAGGGAGACTCTGACTTCTTCCTGACTGACAAGGAAATTGACTAACAGGTCAATAATAGCAAGCTGCAGGTCAGAATTCAACCCACATATATGTGACTCAAAATCCTATCGCAAACTGAGCTTCGGTATGAAAGGCCATGAGCTGGGAGTTTTCAAATGCACATGTACGCACAGAAGAGGTACTGGGTAGTGATGCTGAATAAATAAAATGGGGAGATGGATGGATGGACAGATGGAGAGATAGAGAAATGGATGATGGAAGGACGAATGCATGATGGTTGGATGGGGGAATTGGGGAATGCAAAGGTAGAAGTATGGATGAATGGATGGATGGATGGATGGATGGATGGATGGATAGATCCATTAAAGGAAGAAAGATAGATGAATCATGAATAACGGATGGATGGAGAGATAGATGGGTGGAGAGGTGGACAAAAAGTTGGATGGAAAGATGAAGGGATGGATGTCAAGATGAATGAATGGGTGGATGGATGTAAAGATGGATGGACAGATGGAATAAAGAAAGGATGATGAGTAGATGGATGGATGGAAAGATGGGTGTAAAGAGATGGGTGGGTGGATGGATGGGATGGATGGATAGGTAGGTGGATGGATGAGTGGGTGGACAGATGGATGGATAGGTGGATGCATTGATGGATTCATGGATGGGTGGACAGATGGATGTGTAGACAGATGAATGGATGTATGGAGGGTGGATGCATGGAAGGACGGAGGGATGGATAGATGGGTGAGTGGATGGGTGGGTGGATAATAGGTGGATGGATGTATGGGTGGATGATGGACTGAGTGGATGAAAGTATGTATGGGTAGGTGGGTAGGTGGAGAGGGATGGACAGATGGGTGGATGGATGGTGGATGGATAGATGGATGGGTGGGTGGATGTGTGGGAGGATGATGGACAGATAGAAGGATGAATGGATGGGTGGATGAATGGAAGGGTCTCTGTTACCTACAAGAGTTCTGTGACGTAGGAATTATTCCCACCTGACAGATGAGAAACAGCAGCTCATAGTGGTGCAGTTACCGGCCCACAGTCATAGAGCAAGGTGGGGGAAAATCTAGTTTCTCAGATCCCAAGACCCTCTCTTGAGCACCCTCATATCACAGGCCCCTCCCAGTCCAAACCCAGAGTCCTTCAGCATCTCCCTTCACAGAGCCCTTTTGGCAAGGCATAGCAAGGCTGAGGGAGGGAAAGGGAGAGCCATTAGCTTTCAGCGAGCGTTTTCATGAAAGCATTGGATCAGGTGCTGTTAGCTACAGAGGGGCCAGAGAACCAGGTCTTGTGTGGACACACACACACACACACACACACACACACACACACACACACACTTACAGAAAACATCTAATACACAGGAAACCCACATGCATACAAAGTAGGCAAACACATTCATATATATTTGCACACCCAAACACACACAGTCATACATGTCCACACTTATATGCATACAAAAATAGTTGCACACACAAAATGATAATTCAGAGACAGGCTCGTACATGCTTATGCACACAGGCCCAGAGACACTGGACGCTGGCATTTTAGCATTTAGACACACACTTACGCACAACTCCCCCATGCATGGCCACAGTCTCACACTTAGGTGGGGGGATTTGGCTTCTGAGTTCAATGACTCCATCTCTCCCTTCCCCTCTGGTAGCAACAGCAAGAGGCTGTGTCACACCCATGTATACAAACTCTACGCACATGTGATCGCCTGACACAAGTGAACCCACAGTTACACAACTGCAGACACACACTCAACACATCTACACCCAAACGCACTCACTCGGAGACACTCCCACTAGTCATTCTGGGACTAGTCTCACACATGGGAAAACGCAGTTGGATCCTCGCGTCAGCAATGCTGTGACACAGCCCCCACTCCACCCCCCACCCACTCACCCAAACACATGCATAAATACACACACCAGGGTGTACCCACGCAATGTCACTTGATGTGAGAGACAACACCTCATATATTGGTTTCAAGTCTGAGAATCTGGACTGACATCTCACTTGTGTGTCAAGCGCAGTAACACCTGACCCCAGGGGCTGGCCAAAGTCTGGGTACAGTGAATGGTGTCTCTCCCACCCCCCAACACTTGCCTGCATGCCTTGGAAGAAAAAGAAGTGTTGTGATGGTGATGGGGTGCTAGATAAAGGATTGGAGAAGTTGGGATAATGTTGTGCAGAAGCAAGGGAGTCCCACGTTGTGTTGAGAGGAGTCTTGCAAACTGAGGACTATGAGGGGGTTCCCAGAGGGGCAAAGGGTGGGAGGGGATGGGCTGAGGGAGTTTGTAATGGGGGAAGACCCCTCCTCTCTCCTCAGGACAATGGAGCCACCATTATTAACCAGACAAAGTGTCCCCTTTTACTCCCACCCCAACCAAAGCTCTGTGGAGGGAGAAGCAACAGAGGGGGAGGGGAGGGGACAGTCCTGGAGCTGCTGGAGGCAGCATCAGCTTCTGCTCAGCCAGAGCCCTGTGTGTCTCCCAGGTGGGTGACTTAAGGGGATAAATACTCTGCACTTGGTGAGACAGGTAATCGGGAGGGAGATGCTTGGGGGGTGGGGTGTGCAGGAACAGAAAAAGAGAGACAGGCAAAGAGAGATGCAAAGTCAGAGACAGCGAGACAGGGATGGACAGAGATAGGTAAGGACAGAAATCAAGAGAGACCCAGAGAAAGAGTAAAGGAAAGAGAGACATAGAGACACGGGGGTGGGGGGGGGGAGAGAGAGAGAGAGAGGAGAGAGAATGTGTAACTATTCAAAGCCGCTTAGACACAAACCAGGCAGAGTCCCTGAAGGTGGAGACCCCCGGAGACTCCCAGGCAACCCTCATGCAGAGGCAGGGTCCCCTCCCAGGCCCCGAATCTCACCCTCCCACTGCGCCCCACTCAGCCCGGACGCGGCTCAATTCCGCAGCCCTTGCCGCCTCCGCCCGGGGCTGGAGCGAGCCTTGGTTGGCACCCGGACACCACTCACCAATATTAATAATAATCATTACTACTACTAATAAGAAGAAGAACAACGCTGTGCCGCGTGGAGGTGGCGTGGAGGGGGGCGTCCCCGGGTCTCCCTCCAGCTCCCGAGCCCCAAGAGGGCGCACCCCCCCGGGGGAGGGCGCACACCCCCGGCCCGCATCGCTTGGCACTATGGGGACACAGGAGTGGGGGGGAGGGCTGCGGCGGCGACAGAGGCGACAGTGGCGGTGGCGCGGGCACCACGCCCCCCCCCCCGGGAGCGCCCCCCGGGGCCACTCACGATTTTCTCGGAGGCGCCCGCGCGGGACACGGTGCCGTTGAGCCCTACGAGCGAGGGCAGCGTCTGCGACATCCAGTTGGTGACCATGGCCATGGTGCTCAGCACGGCCCCGATCTTGAGCAGCGGCACCGACATCGCGCCCCCGCCTCATGCCCCGCGGCTGCCCGCCGCGCACCCCTCGTCCCGCCCCGCCACCAGCCAGCCAGGCGCGCGGTAGCCCTCGCCACCCAGCCGCCCCGAGGGGCGCGAGCGCGTGCTGGGGGCCGGGGCCGGGGGCCGGGGGGCTCGGGGACGCGGCTGCGGCTCGGCGCGCCTCGCGGGCTCCGCTTATAAAGCGCCGGTTCCCCCCCCACCACCCCGCACCCCACCCCCGCCTCCGCGCCGGGCACTTCCAGCCGCGTGACGTCACGGCTCCCGCCCCGAGCCCGGCGGGGGGCGGGGGGCGCCCAGGCTACCCCCACCCGGTCTCCCGCAGCCTCACCGTCCCCCCCCATTCTCCCGGGCTGCCCCAAGGTGGTAGGGACCCCCCCCACCTCTAGCGACGTCCCCCGCCCCCCACCGCGGCATCCCCAGCCCCGCCCCCCAGCGGCGATCCCGTCCCCCCACCCCGGTGGTATCCCCGGGCCACCCTCGGCGCACCGCCCCTCTTGGAAACCCCCGCGTTTAAAAGGAGCCGGGGGGGGGGGCGTCCTGCAGCTGGGAGGACAGCTGGCCCATCGTAGTCCCCCCACCCAACATGGGGTGGAGGGCGCCAGTCAGTCCTCACCCACCTGCTATGGCTGGGACACTGGCGCCCTAAAACCCACAAGGGGGCGTGGGGGTGGGCGAGACTCTAGTGCGCTCCCAGGAATCGGGCAGCCCCAGATCTCGTTTTCATCGGGGAAGGGGCTTCCCCGGTACCAAGTGGTACCAAGTCTCCTCTGGGGTCCCTCACTGGATGGAATGGGACTAGGGGAGCCCTGAGAGGCGTGATCCCGAGCCACTAGACGCGGGGTGCGGTGACTGATGGGGGTCACTTGGGCAGCGAGCAGATTCCTCTCCGCATCCAAGGGCGGCGAGGGAAGCGCGGGACCAGGGCGCAGCGAGTCCCAGGTGGGGCTTGACTTAGAACTTGAACTTGGGGCGGGGGTGTGGGCGGGGAACTTGCACACTTGGGACCTCCCTCCAGTCCCTGGGCTCGGGCTCCGGGGCTTGTCCCCTGGGGGACCGTGGAGCGCAGAGTCCTCACCCCTCCATCCATGCTCTCTCCCCCCCTCCCCACGCGCCAGGCGGGTTTAATTTCCTCTGTTTTGCCGGCGCTCACGCCCCCTCCTGGCGTCCCCGCGTCACCTCCCGCGGCCGCCGCCGTCGCCCTCGGCCCGCGGCCGCCGCCGTCTGGAGGCGGCGATGACTCAGGCCTTTGCTCTCAAGGGGAGCAGCAGCCAACCTGGGGGTGGACACTGGGGGGGTCTTGGACTGTCTTTTTCTAAGCTTGATCACAGAGGAGAAAGCCAAGGTGTGCCCACAGGTGACCTGCAGCAGTGACCTCCCCTGTGTGCCTCAGTTTCTCATCTGCAAAGTGGGAGGTTCTGAGGATTGGTGATTTTAAACCTTGTAAAAGGTTTGGGGAGCTTAAAGTGACTTACTGAGCATCCCAGACACTGACTCTCAGAGAAAAATGCCAGCCTGAGCCGGAAGCTTTAATGTTCTATACCGCAGACAAATAAATAAATAAATAAATAAGGGAAGAAAATAGAAATACAAATAGGATTATCAGGATTCTGAAAGTGTGCGAAAGTACACCTCAAATAGGATTGCCAAGGGGAGGGAGGAAGCCGTTTGGATACCCAGAGGAAGAGCTCTAAACAACGGCAATGGCAAGTGCAAAGGCCCTGGGGCAGGCAGACTCAAGGGACAGGAAGGAAGCCAGAGCTGTTGGAACCTAGTGAGCCAGGGGGAAGTGGAGGAGGATAGCATTTGTAAAGCACTTTGCAGTTTCTGGGACATAGTACATTTTTCATAAATAGGAGCTGACATTGCTATTATGATTTGCAACTGATAAATGACAGGAAAAACACCAAGCTGGGTCCTTGCTTACTTGTACTAAAGCTTCCGTTTATGAGCACTGAAGGGGTTGGAAATGAGCTTGCTAGCACTTGTGCTACCTCCCAAGAAAAGTATAGGAGGGTATACCCTTCACATAAGGAAACTGGGCTCTGAGAAGATTGGGGACCCACTTAGGGTGGCCCAGCAGGGAATTGGGAGTCCTGGATTTGAACCCAGGTCTATCTGATTTCAGAGCCCAGAGTCACTTGGCTCCCAGCAGCCTGGCTTAGACAATATGAAATCCAGTGACACTCATTCTCGATAAGTTCCTAAATGTACCCCCCACCTCCTCTGCCCCTCCAAAACTCTTCAGACCAAAGACATCGATAACCTTCCAAACCTTCCAATCGCCCTCCTTTTTTTTTTTTTTTTTTTTTGTGGCGGTTCTGGGGCTTGAACTCAGGGCTTACACCTGGAGCCTTTTTTGTGATGGTTTTTTTTTGAGATAGGGTCTTGTGAACTATCTTCCCTGGCTGGCTTGGAACTGAGATCCTCCTGATCTCTGCCTCCTGAGTAGCTAGGATTACAGGCATAAGCCACTCTCACTGATTTCAGACACACCATTTCCTAGTTCTCCCTCCACCTCTCCAGCTACACCACCACTCCCTAAATGTCCGTGTCTCCCTCCCAGGACTCTGTCCTGCCCCTGCCCTCTCATTCTGCACACTGTGCTCTGATCATCACACCCACACCCAAGGTCTTGGTTCCATCTGACACACTCCCTGCCTCAGGACCTTTGCACTTGCTGTTGCTGCTACTCAAAACAGATGCCCACATGTTTGATCCTCTTCTTTGTCTCTGCTCTGTCACGGTGTGGAGCAGAGTCATGCCTTGCCCTTCTCCAGAAAACTACATTTCCCAGGGCTCTTTGCGCACTGGATTCAGGTCAGGTTCATCCAATGGGAGGCCCTGGAGGGAGATGGGACAGTGGGGCAGGAGAAGCCAGGATATCTCTCCTTTTTTTTATGGAGGATGTTGGGGGGGTTCTGATAGCGTTTTCTCTCCACAGACCCAGCTCCCACACAAGAGCCCCCTCCTTGTCACACCACCCTTTGCTCTGTCCTTCAGCGACTTTCTGAAATGGCTTGTTGCTAGATTCCCTGATCACCCCGTTAACCATCTCCCATGTAACCATTTCCCTGTATTAAATTCTCTCTCGCTGAAACACCTAAAGTGCTTGTTTCCCTGACGGAATCCTGAGTGACAGAGCCACCATTTTCACGTTTTTCTTTCTGTTTTTTGTGGTGCAGGGGATGGATCCCAGCATCTTGCTCACGATAAGCACGTGGTCCAACACTGAGCCCCAGCGCGCCCCAAATACACCTTATCTGAACAAGCATCTCATTTGCGATTGGAGCTCTTCCAGTTTCTGCGCTTACTGTTCTTCATTCATTAACATTATCATCGTGTGTACTTTTGTCTATGGTCTATTCGCTAGACTCTCAGCCCCACAGATTGTCACCTATAGGTATGTGTTTTTCACAGCTGCATCTTCAGGACATAGAACAACGAACAACTTTCCAACCTCCCTCCCTCCCTCCTTCCCTCCTTCCTTCCTCCTTCCTTTCTTTCCTCCTCCCGCCCTCCCTTCTTTCCTTCCTTCCTTCCTCTGTCCCTCCATCCCTCCTCCTTCCTTCTTTCCTCCCTCCTTCCTTCCCTCCCTTCTTTCCTTCCTTCTTCCTTTTGTAGGTCTCAACTTGACATCACCTAAGCCACCTTACACTCTGCTTGACCCTAGAGTTATTTGACTGCAGTAGAGATGGGCTCCCAAGGGAAACTCTGGTTTCCCAGCACCTGTGCCAGAACTCAAGACCCACTTCCTTGACTACCCTTAGCAACGGACAATGAACAAGTCACAATGGAAAAAAATTCCCTCACCCCTTACCAGGTCCCTCCTCTCCTACAAACCCCCAGTCTGTAAGTGGCAGGGGGCTGTAGCTCTCTTTCTGGGACCCCCTTCACAGGTTTCTTCTCCTGAATAAACTTGTGCTGACGGTGAGCCATCTCTATCTCTCTGTGCTTTTCAGTTTTACACGTTCCTCTGACCCTTCCTTCTTCCTCCTTTCCTCTCCCCTCCCCTCCTTCCTCCCTCCCCCTTTCTTTCCAAACCCACTGCCACACACATGCTATGCAAGCGAGACCACTGAGCTGCACCCCAGCCCCAAGAAGTGATTTCTGACCGACCGGCTAATGGGATGCATTACCTACAGCTCTATCCCCGCCTGGAGCTCAGACACAAAATCCACCTGCTTCTTAACATTTCCACCTGTGTGTCTCCCAGGACTAGTAAACACCAACTAGAACTGGCATCAACCAGGAAGCCAGACCTATCAAGTATTGGTGACTGTGGGAAAAGCCGGAATTCCAGACATTACTGCAAGGAATATAAAACGTGGCAACCACTTTGAGAAACAACTTCGCAATTTCTTTACAAATTTAACAGAAAGACCTTCCATAAGACCCAACCATTCCAGCTACCCAGGAGAAATAAAGGCATATGTCCACAGAAAGGCACCGTCGTAAATATTCATGACAGTGGGGTTCATAATGAATGAAACCAAATGTCTGCTGCCTGGCGAAGGAACAAACAAACTGTGCTCCACCAATACAATGGAACTCTTTTAGCCATAAAAGGGAAAGAATTATTGATATTTGCTGCAATGTGGATGAAGCTCAAAAATATTTTGCTTAGTAAAAGAAGGCAGACAGAAAAGACCACAGATTTTATGATTCCATTTATACAAAATGTCCTGAAAAAGGCAAATCAATAGAGACAGAGTAGATTAGTGATTGCCTGGAACTGAGATCCATCGTGGGGAAGGAATTCAAATAGGTACCAGGCAGCCATCGGGGTCGTGATGGGAATGTCCTAAGACCGAATGGCTGCACTAATTATCAAGTTTATGAAGTCACTGAGCTGGGCATGGTGGTGCACACTTATAATCACAGCTACTTGGAGGCAAAGATGGGGAGGATCACAGTTTGAGGCAGAAAGTTAGCAAGCCCCCATATCATTTAATGAAAGCTGGGTACGGTGGTGTATGTTTATC